GCACCGACGTTGTAAAGCTCGTTTTGGACATGACAACTTGTACTTCTCATTGTTGCATGGAAAGGATTATTCTTACATAGAAATCTGTGGGTTTTGTGTCCGTGGATCAGCTGTTAGGAAAGAGCTTGCATAGGCACTGCCTCTTTCCTTGGACTGAATGCCGCTGTCACCGCAAGCAGCCAGCCCGCCCGCAGTTGGTGCGGAGGACCTGGGAGGGACACTAGGCCCAGCGCACACGCTGCACCTTTTCTGAGGGCTGTGCCAGCACCAGCTGGCAGATTCTATCTCTGCAAGGTTTGTGTCTTGTTTTTAAAAAACAAAGAACCCGCTGGTGCGAGCAGTGTGAGCGGTGTGAATTCTCCCAGATGCACTGAGTTGCAGACAGTTCCACTCTGCACTCTTGTTTCTAGCAGACAACACCAGTGCCTGCTGAGTAACTGTGCCTCTTCGTTTTCTCTCAGTTTGATAAAGGTTACTCTTACAATATCCGCCATAGCTATGGAAAGGAAGGCAAGAGGACCGACTACACGCCCTTCAGCTGCATGAGGATCATCCTCACCAACCCTCCAGGCCAAGGGGATTATCACGGTCAGTGTTTCCACGGCTGAGCCCCGTCCAGAGGTGCAGCCCTTCCCAGAACGCTGGGACGGTGTTCCTGGCAGGACCCGCACATAGCTTCAGCCAGCCGTCTGTGTCTAGCTGGAGCCTTTACTCTAAGGGTGATTTGTCCTGCTGCTGAAATAGGTCAGGCAAGAGCAGCTCATTCAACTCATTGCAGCTTGTGCTAGACTCAGCTCCTGGCTTCCAGTCCCCCTGGTTGTCGGCTCCTCTGTCTTCCCTGTGTCCTGCAAGTGTCTTAGAAGACAAATGCTGGCTTTTCAAACTTCTTAAAGCTGACCACTCTAGTGGGGTTTTATATTTTGGCAGTTGTAGGGCTTGAAATCTGGGCTCTGTCCATGAGCTCTTTTGCTCAAGGCTGGTATTCTACCTCTTTTGAGCCACAGCTCCACTTCTGGTTTTCTGATGAAGTGGATAAGAGTCTCATGGACTTCCCTGCCCAGGCTGGCTTTGAACCATGATCTTCAGAGCTCAACCTTCTATGAGTAGCTGGGATTATACGCGTGAACCATCATCAGCCAACCAGTCTAGTTTTGGTACACTTTCAGTTAATGATCAAATAATTGCAAGCATTATTTTAAGACACTCCAGGTGTCTAGAGTCTTCAGCAAATTTTATCATCATTGATGTATCTACTGAAATTCAGACTCTTGCATTCAATTCTCAATGGAGGTATTTTGATGTCACTGCAGTCTCTTATTAGATCTAAAATTTCTATGGAAGTATCCTATTTTTCCATCTCATTTCCCTTCACAACTCTCCCCAATATATATGAGTTTTAGTCCACACAAAAGCAGCATTCATTTCATACATGAAAGTAGAGGAGATTGTTACATTTCTCAGAACTTGCACATTTTAGTTTTCTTCCATATTGTCTACTGTAGGCCTTGTATATAAATTTTAGACTAGAAAACTGAGCTTCTGTAGTTTGCTAGGTATACTGTGAGAGCCGCTGTATGGTTCTCTGGGCTTGTTGGCAAAAGTAAAGCTGTTTCCTCTTCCTGGTGAATGGACTCCTTAGCCTGAGAGTGTGGTAATGTTTTATGCAACTCTGGAGCCTGTAGTAGCCTGATAACAATACAGCCACGGTGTCATTAGATAAAGAAGGAAAGTCTTGCACCCACGGGCAATTAACTTCCTTATTAATAAGCTGTTGAGCAATTCCGGGGAGTTAGGTAGTCTCTGGCGTGTGGCAGTATACTGGGTCTGGGTGAATAACCTTGCTGGTGTGCTGCTTGTTTTCTCTTGTCAGGGTGCCCATTTCGTCACAGTGACCCAGAGCTGCTGAAGCAGAAGTTGCAGTCATACAAGATTTCTCCCGCAGGCATAAGCGAGGTAGGTGGACTGTGCTGTGTCCTTGGTGAAGAGGGGCAGGCAGGCTGCTGTCATTCTCAGTGGCGTGCGGTAACACTGCACACTGCCTTCTACAGAAATGAAGTGGAACCCTTGAGTTTGGGGGATTTTCCTGTGCTGGGTTGCCTTTTTATTCTTCTTGGTAGAAAGAGAAGCTGGTGTCCCTTCCCCGGCGTCAGCTGTGCATTCTGTGGTAGGTTTTATGATTCACTTCTCTATCAGTCAGTAGTGTGTCTAGGAGACACGGCTGTTTCTTGTATAATCACTGAATAAGCACAAATGTTCTTCATCACTTTGTAGAGACCATCGGGCATGGTGATTCTGAGCTGGTTTGCTTTTATTAGCTGAAAACCTCAACTATGTCAAGCACGGGGGCCAGGGAGCCTGGGGCTCAGTTCTTAGTTCTTCTCTGCAGTCTCAGTGGTCCTCCTTTTCTCCCTCAAGTTCAATTCTTCCACCCAAAATGTTGCTATTAATCTTCACTGACATTCAGATATAAGGTAGCAATTTAAGTACTTCATAAGAACCGTTTTCTTGGTACCTACCTTATGGTCCTAAAGTGTGGTAAAAATACAGTAGCTTGGCCAGGCACCGTGACTCAGGCCGATAACCCATCTGAGGATCCAGGTTCAAAGCCTGCCCGGGCCGAAGCGTCCCCATGAGACTCACCTCCAGTCGACCACTCACAAAAGTGGCACTGAGGCTCGAGTGGCAGAGCCTTGGCCCTGAGTTCAAGCCCCATAACCAGCTCTGTGGCTCCCAGGAAGTCACTGTGGAAGAGGTGCCCAGCCGTGGGGGTGGGGGGGCACGGGGGAGACGCCACGCATGCTCACTCTGCCGCCGTGGGGGGGGGCAGGGGGAGATGCCACGCATGCTCAGTCACTCTGCCTCAGGGTGGGCAGGGGGAGACGCCACGCATGCTCAGTCACTGCCACGGGGAGACGCCA